TCCACAGAGGCAGGGTGCAGGCGGGGTTGCTAGAGGACTGAGAGGGATGATGAAAGAGTCCTCAAATCTGTAGTGATGGTTGCATAGCTCCTGAATAGGTAAATGACACTGAATTGTACCCTAAGCTGGATGAGTTTAATGACACATGAATTACATTGCAATAAAGATTTTTTCTTTTGCTGTTTAAAGCCAGGATGCCTGTGCCTGGGATGCGGCTCCTTTCGCTCACCCTTCTGCCTGAGTTCACACACAACACAGGCTGCGAAAGCCCATGCTCCCGGGAGCCGCCTCCTCCTCCCTGCCCACAGCACTGCAGTCAGTGGCCAGGTGACAGTCGCCACCCGCCAAGCTCCCGTTCACACGGATTCGCCTTTGCACCAAGAGCTGGGCCTCAGAGGCGAGCAGCCCCCGAGGGCACTGGCCCAGTGAGTGGGTCGAAGCCATCGTGGGGAGCAGGTCCCGGGTGAAAGGGTGAACCAGCCCTCTGACTCTCCCATCCTCTCTGCTTGTCCCCAGGACCGGGGAGCGAGAAGGATCTCGCCCAGCACCAGCTGCTCCATCTGGGGCTTCCCAGCTCCAGAGCCCCTGAGCCAACAAGTTCCCACTCACTGTAAATTACCTAGGGCGAAGGTGGAAGTCCTGGAGGAAGCTGGTCAGGTGCAGGGAGGGAGAGGGCTCCGGAAGGGACCATGGCCAAGAGGGAGCTGTCCCTATCAGTTCCCGGAGGGTGGTTTCTGGGGTGGGATGGTTTTTTCAGAGAGTCTTGCTATGTAGTCCAGGCTGGCCTGGAACTCGTGGCAGTCCTCCTGCCTCAGCCTCTTGAGTGCTGGGACTGCTGAACGTTCTTTGAAAAGAGGTACTACATACATGATAGGTTGGGGAGGGGCATCATCACCTCCATCTTCCTGTAGTCCGAGCCAGGGCTGGACATTAAACAGACATAAGGTAAACGGGAAAAGCAGACACCAGACTGTTATGGCTTGTGTCTAGATTTTCCCCCAAAGCCCCATGCAGTCATAGGTGGGGCTTTTATAGAGGTGGCTGAATCTAGAGTGTGTGATTGATTCATGGTGCAATGCCAGGATTAAGGGTGCTAGGATAAAAGGTGTGAGTGCTACCCACTCTGAGGGCAGGTAGCCTGATACAGTATAAGGACAGAAAGAGGCTTGCTACTAGTTCCTTATAGATGGTCACTTGGACTTGCTTGCTTTGCTGCCTCCTGCCCACCATGAACTGTTTCTCCTCTGCGATGCCCTCTACCATTGCTCCTTGCCTTAGAGCCTGCCAACTATGGACTGAGCCCTCTACAAATTGTGAGCTAAATAAACCTTTCCTCTTAACTTTGAGGGTCGGGTATGTTGTCCATAACTAAGACATGGACCATAGGTTTATGTGACCCAGGAGCCTCACAGGAAGTGAAGACCCAAAGGCAAGGCAAAGCCTTGGTTGGGCAGAAGTCTCTGCCTCAGCAAGACAGGCGGCAGTGGAAAACTAAGGGTGTGAGTTTTCTCCTGGCCCGGGGAGGGCGTCTCTCACAGGAGAGGTAGCTCTGATTCAGCGTTGTGTGGCCAGGCCAGGCACCAGCTGCCTCCCATGGCAGCGGCCTGACCCCTGCCCAGCCTGCCCTGGCCCTGGCCGTCTCCGTGCTTCCACCCCGTGGCTCCTCCCACTCCGACCTCAGGTCGTTCCGCCAGCCTCTCCCCACGGCCTGACACTGGCTGCAGAGCGAAGCCCGCGAAGCCCACAGGTCCCTGCCGACCCCGCTCACAGCTGCAGCCTCACAGACTTTCATTCCCCGTGCAGCAGAGCAGCCCCTGCACGGGTGGGACCATCGTGCTCCCAGCCTGCGCGGGACCTCCCTCGCTCCGGAAGGCTGGGGACACGCAGAGGGGCCTCGGGGAGGCAGCCAGCCCCTGGGGGAGCCCACGGTCAGAGGCCGGCACTGCGGGGCAGGCGGGAGACGGCGCGCCCCGCCGCCAGGGGGCGCTGAGGAGCCTGGCGGCCCCACGGACACGGCGCGGGGTCCTCGCGTCCACGGAGGTCCCGGGATGCAGGCGGGAGTCCCGATCCCCGCTCGGGCCGCAGCGTCCAGCAGAGGGCGCCCTCGCCCCGCCTGTCCTCGGGCCCTCCCCGGCCGGCCCGGCCGCCTCCTCCA